AATTTTAAGTTCTAACCCACCAAGTTGGTGAACTAAAAGATTGTAAATATTTGATGGGAGCTGAGCCTAGGCTAGATCATATCTTTAAATGCATCGCACTATATATGGGATATGGTGGCCAACATCAGTGCAGTAACCAAACTTGGGCATCTTTAAGAGACAGCCAGGTTTTAGTCTAATTAGATTATTAAATAGTTTAGTTTTGTATTAAGTAGTAAATATTTAATAAAATTTTAGTACATGATTATCAAAGAAAAAAAAAAAAAAAATTAAATATTTACTTTTATTAAGATACAACATCAAAATATTATTAAATACTTGTATTAACTAAAGAACTAGTAACTAGAAGTAAAAAATAAATACAACATGCATTGATTAGTAATAGTAAAATATACAACCTATTAGTATTTGATGAATTTGTTAACTCATATAAAAGATTATATCAACTTGCTTCTAAAGGTTTGGATTGTTTTAATTACCTTTTATCAGTATTGGATAAGTTCTTTGATTTTCTTTATGACAGTTTAAGAATAGATAATATAAAAATATTTATAACTTGGTACAATTCGGCTTTAAGTTCAAGTGGAGATATAGTTAGAGCAATGTCTGATTACTATAACCATGCACTGTTTGGTAATGTATTAATCAACATGAATGATGAAAAAATGGGTCAATATAATACTTATAATAGAGCATGTTTTACAAAGATATTTAACAGTCCGTAATTTTTTTCTGTTTAATATAATAGCAAAGATAAAATCATATGATTATATTAATAGATCATATTAATAGATCACGTAATATAAATCCTTTCTTACTATATAAAATTAATTAGTTTTTTTTTTTTAAATACTATTAGGTTTTTCAAAAATTCTTGAAATCTTAATCGAATGAACTCAACCAATCAGATTAAATAATATGGATAATTTTCGGTGTACCTGATCAGAAGGACTATTTTGGACCAAGACTAGAGTAAAAAAAAAAAAAAACCAAAGAATCGATCTTATTATGACTGAGACGGACTGTATCGGATTGATCCATCCCTAATCACATATAATACATGTCACTGATCAGATTTTTTCACGAGCTAAATCTGATAAATAATAATGTAAGCTGAAAGCTCGAAATTTCATCAGTACTCAAATGATTTCTATACATTTCGGGAATCATTTTGGGATCATACATCTAACTTTTATTATTTCAATATTTTTTATTTTAGTGAGTACGTGTATTATTTCATACTATGATACATTACAATAATAAATTACTAATTATTTTTACCATATATATGATCATTTTATCATGCGATTTACGACTCAACGATAATCGCGATATATCAAGTTACCTTTAATTGCTGATTGCGGGATTTTCGCTATTATTTTAGGTACAAACTAAGTAGGGAAATAACCTCCCGACCGTCAATTAATAAAACGTGGGAATAACTCATTTATCCCCGGATTTTTTCCCTTCGGCTCCGATAGGAGCCGGGAAATAAATTATTATCCCGCTTCGCGGAGAACAAATAGTACATAATTCCGAAAGATAGACATACTAAAACCTATTTATGAAATATCATAGGCAAGATATTGTAGTTAGGCAGAATGGTGTTGATCATCAGCCAAAAAACTCCGAAAGATGTACGTACCAATCGTATTTAATAAATATAAATAATTGGAGTTATTTAACCACATAAAATTTTGACTTATAATAAGGCAGAGTGGTGATCATTAGGCCAGAATTTCCGGAGAATGGGTATTTAAAACTATGTATAGTTAAAATTTTTTTAGGCAGTTTCAATTCCTTATTATAAAAATAAATAAAATACAAACAAAAAAAAAAAACAATAGCATGCTAAAATAATTTCAGGTACACAGGTTGAATCAATGATTATCGGGTACACATCGAGAGACAAATTTCCTGATATGCATCCGATAGTCTGCCATAGATCCGTCTAATCTGATGAATAGTATATTCGAATATTCAATGAATATTTGAATAACCGAATATATAATTGTTTCACTGAATTAATATTCGAATATAATTCATTGAATATTCAATGAATATATGCTAACAATCTTATATACTGATTGGTTAGTCCAAAAGTAGATTAGCTAGAAGTTTTCTCTAACGATTTATTTATTTTAATATAACTTTTTGGTATAAAAATTATTCGTTAGCTTGTATATTTAAACTCTCAATTATTCAACTTTATAATATTGTCTTAATTCATTGTTGTTCTTAATCAACAACTCTATTTCATGATCATGAATATTCATAAAAGATTGAACGAATGAATATTCGAATACTTATTTTTCATATATCAGCAGTATATTAGTAAAATATCGGGAGGTAGAATGATATAACAGTAAATATTGGGATATCAGATAGATATCTTACTCTTACTCTTAAGCTCTTAAGCCCAGAGTCCTAAGAGTAAATCCCAATCCCAATTTTTACTGTTATGCCGATATGCGTACGTAGGTATTATGACAGACTACCGGGTACATATCAGGAAATTTGTCTCCCGGTATGTACCTGATATTCATGTGTTAATTAGGGTTCTTGGCATGCATACCATTAATTATAATATATATAAATACAGAAATATATAAAGATGCAGTTTATATTTTTTTGAACTTTAAAAAAAATTTTTTCAACAAATTATTAAACAAATAAATCATGTGATTATGGCATGCATCTGGCACGAAATTTAGAATTTGGCAGGAAATTGATAATTTTAATAATGATAATTTTATAAAAAACTTCAACACCTTCAGTTAAACTAACATCTGGATATAACTGACAATTTTTTTTGGAGTATAGATATAATCAAGTTACTATACTTATAACCTCCCAGCATTCGTTTTGATTGCCTCCTGGTTATAAAGCTACCCTCAAAATTCTCATATGCTTTTCATAATACCACTACTACAGGCTGAAAAAAATAGATCAGAATAGAGCCGATAGAGCTATCAGAAAGCTATCAGATGCGTATCAGCTCTGATATTTCTATTCTGATCTACTTTTTTCAACTTGTGAACTCTATAAATTAATCTGATATATCCGGATTTCTGTTTAAGGCCAGACCGATTTGATTTTCTGTTTAATATAATTCCATCCCCCTTAATTTTTTAAAACTATAGAAACCAATACAAATATTTTCTAAGATATATATAAACCAACACACATTAGATTAGCCAATAAAATTTCAGCATTGGATTTTATCTAATATTTTGTGTATTTTTTATAATACAATACCCCTATCACAAGCCTAACCAGAGGTATGTATAAACTTGAAATTTAAAAATAAGTCTTTATAGCGCTGTCGGTTTATATACAGTAGATATCTGGATCATGTGTATCAAGCACCGAAATATGGAATAATGAATTTTTAATCTATAAGCTATATTTAATAATTTAAAATTTTAAAATTTTTTGGAACCTTTTTTGTTAGCTTTATTAAGTTTATGCTAGGATTTAGGACTAGTATTTTAGTAGATACAGCATATACTGTAGACTTAAATAGGGATCCAAGGGCGATTTCAGCGTAAGCCGTCAAAAAAATTTTTGTTTTATTCCGTTTACGAAATATATATTTTGTTATATAAATATATACGTTTTTTACCAATATATACATATTAGGGGGTTTCAAAGTTAAAATCAGAGAATCTTATTTTATTTTTCCGATTTATAATTCAACATAGTAAAAATACTATTGAAAAAATCCTATTTATTTTCGAAATGTGTCACTTATTTGTTAACTTTGAAACCCCCTATTATAATTTAGTTAGTACAATTTATACTGTAAATAAAATATGCCTTTTTTAAACAATGGCGCAGGAAATTCCCACGGTCGAATCGTTGTACAAATTTTATTTTTTTCAACACCCATTTGTCAATGCAGACGTGCATAAAATGTATATCTAAATATAGAAAGTTTTTACTACTTTTAAAGTAGCATATATTCCACGAGCTATTAATTGTATGCTATAGGGCTAAAAAGTAAAAATTCCGAATATCAATCACATTGCTTACCTGGCTTTCGAATTTGTATTGTTAGAATATGTTATATGTATGTAAGCAGGTACATATGTATTAATCCTGATGAGAGCCCGAGTCATAAGATATTCAATTGACTAACATTAGAAAGAACACCGGAGAATGTGGAGATTAGCAATTGTATTCTTGTATCAAATTGTGTCAATTGATGATCATGGGACTAATTAATGTACAAACCGTAAAAGGGGTTTAATAATAATTAATAATAATAATAATAATATACGACAATAATATATACGGTATATATATATAGATATAAATAAATAAATATATATATATGTCGATATTGTTTATATGTTATTACGGTAAACTGCAACTGAATTTAAGCTAATCGAACTTTATTTAAATTTACTGTACCTATGAATAATTATTTCGTTCATCAGAAAATCATCACTTTAGTGATTGTCCTTTACAGATTAAAAAAAATTTAAAAGCGCATCGAAGTTTTTTATTCCTTCAAAAAAAAAATAAATAAAAAAAATAAATATTTATATCTTTGATCTTGGCAAATCACAACGATAAAATTATTCCTACTATCAATAGAAAATCTACTATTATCATCGGCCTATAAAATCTGCAGTAAAGCGGGAACACTGCTTCCAATAATAATTTGAATTTATTAAATTATGGTGTCTCTGCGCTTCATCCTTTAAATGAAATAGGCTTATCTTCCATTATAATGCATAGTGTAGCTTTATGAATTCTCAATTATATATATATGTGTGCCATCTTTCCTTCCTCGGATTAACTTTCTATTAAATATTTTTTATTTTTTAATCAGCCAACCTTACTTATTCATTTATAATTTATAATAAATTTATTTATTTTTTTTTATTTTTCATCATCGATTCGGTGTTTTTTTTTTTCTTTTTTTTTTTTACTAGATTTTTTTTATAGGATTACAGAAACAAAAATCATTAAATATTATTTTTCTTCGAAAGATGGATTCTGTTATTGGATTTTGGGGTGAGCCGACTGCTACAAGTATGTATGAAAATTGATTATTTCCACCATTCTTTTTACTAATTCATTCCATTGGAATTTTTTTATTAGTTGGTAAATATTACAAAAGTTCTCTTGAAACATAATCTACCTATATTTGGTTTCTTGGTATATATCATTTGTTAACTGATGTAAATTTGCATAATCTCGTGTAAAACTAGACTGGTGTGAGAGAAACTATGACGTAACACATTATATTGCTGAATTTTTCAATACAATTTCATCCTTATGCATGGTTTCTGCCGGAATTTTTGGTATTTATAAGCATTCGAAAGGCTTTGAACCTCGATATTCTATATGTTTTGCTTCGTATGTATTTGTTATCTTTTTAACTACAATTTAATATCTACAAATTATTTACTTATTCTAATTTTGTAAAAGAATAATTGTGGTAGGAATTGGTTCGATCCTATTTCATGGCACGCTACTCTTTTCCTTACAATTATTCGACGAAGTACCAATGATGTTCTGTGTCTTGATGTTGTTTTATTCGGTATTCGAAAATCAAAAAGAGAAGAAATTCGGTAAATGGTTTCCTATCGGATTAACTATTTGGGGTCTGCTTATTACTACAATTATGATATTAAGTGGGAAAGATCATGAAGATAGAATGATGCAATTGATTGAATTTTATGTTTTTCAAGGTATTATTTTCAACTTACTTCAGTAATGTTATATTACGATAAATGCCAACATCTCTCGTCATTTAGGAACATTCGTAGTAATGGCAGTATGCGTTTACATACATACATTATCTATCGTATTTAATCCAAATGTTGAAAAGGGTGTTCGTAAATTATGGTTCTTGGGAAGTGTTGTATTTTTAATTGGCTATATTGGATGGCATATTGATTTACATTTTTGTAGTAGAATGCATCAATTGCCGTATAATCCCCAATTACATGCATGGTGGTGAGTTCAACAGAAAGAAAATAAAATCCTTTTATTTTATGTATTCATTTTTCTAATTCATTTTTATATAATAAGGCATTTTACGGCTTCATATGGAAGTTATCTAATATGTGTACTCGTAACCTATAATGGATCAAAAGTATTGGGTAAGAATCCGAGTTTACGATGGATATTAAATGTTTTACCATATATTGAATTACCAGAACCAAGTTCTTTGACTGAGAAATCCGCAATTTATGTAAACGAAAAGATTGAAAAGGTGACAAATTATGGTACCATCATTAGAAAAAATGGTGAAATGGATAAACGTGTTAATGCTATTAATAATTAAAAGACAACAAAATAGAGTAGCAATTATTGGGAATAATTCTTCAAGAAATGTAATATAAAAAAGATGTAATTTGTTTTTTAGAATTGCATATTCCTTATTTCGTACTGTGTTCATCATATTTTAGATGTATATTTCTGTTTAGCAATAATATATAATATATACAATATTTTTTATACATATTTACTGGTAATTATGTATAACTTCATACAAGTAATATTTTATATCACATTAAATACTTATCTATATATATAGTACTGTATATAATATATATTTTAAAAAAAAAGATTTTGGAAACTATCTACAGTCAGACAGTGTACACTTATACTGTATGTATTTACAGTATAGAAACAAAATATAATCAACTTTCTCTAAATGCGACTTGATGAACCAACAATAAGCACTTAGCTCTAGTATATGACCATGATCGCCATATTTAATTATAATTTAATTATTTTTTTTCCTTAAAAAAAAAGCTAATCGAGTTCAAACCTATTTGTTTTTAATCTGGGATGCAAAAATGAGCATAAATGAAATGTAGATTAGTGATAATGGTCGATCGACTTTCTTTAGTCGATAAACTGATAATAATCAATTAATAGTCGACTAATTGATTAATATTTACTAATTATTTACCGTTACAGTTGTTTTCAAAAACTTGTGGAAAGATATAAAACACCTTATCATGGGGATTTCACAATATTTCGCAGATTTTCCAGAATTTTCAAGATTCGTTCTAACCGGATTATTAATTTTTACTAATCAAAATTTTAATATTCTCACATGGTATATGGAAATCGGGTTTTCCACATCTTTTTGAAAACAATTAGAACTATAAGATAGTATTGGTGTAGTATTTGAAATATCGACTAAAAAAGCCGACTAGAGACTAAATTATCGACTGCACAGATGTTATAGATATGATATAAGCAAGGAGTGAAGTGAAGTTTATACTGTAATCCCCGTGCTAATACCCTGATACCAAATACGGGTCTAGGCTGCTTACAGTATTATAAATGCGGATTATGTATTAGAATTTGAAATTTTTCTTTCTCATGACACCGATCTACTACAGAATAATAAGTGCTGGCAAGGAAAAATGTGACACCCTTTAAGAAATAATCTAACGGTAACATATACGATACATAATCACTTATCATTTTACCAATTTTTCTTAAAAACCTAGTCTCATTTTCCCTTGACAACATTCACATTTGTATTAGACTCCAGGTCTTTAGCTACAGTAAAAGACGAATGGACTATTAAACATAGTAAATAAAATATGAATAAGTGTAAATCATGATCTATTGGTACATACGTACGTACGTACGTACGTAAAGCATAAACAAGTAAACGTAATGCTGTAATGTAAAACATAATAAATAAATAATTTTTATTACGTTTATCAGAATTACTTATTTGAAATAAAGATTGAAGTACCCAATTATGAAAAAAAAACATGTATCACAAATAAAAACATACTGTATAACACGAAAACTAAAACTAAAAATATTTATCTCTAATCTGGTGTTTCGTGAAATTTAAAGTACATATGTATTTCCAAACATGAATTAAGAATTTTACATGTCAAAATTTGTGCATGTCTAATATGTGTACTGTACGTACCCAAGTGTTCCCCTAATTCGTTCTTATAATTCTGGTTTAAACTATGACGTAATTTTCAAAAAGTTGCTTCATTCTCAGGTGAGATCTATATCTGTGCAGTATTGGCATATGACCTTGTTACTAATTATAGGTTATGACCTTATGATCTGTTATGACCAGTAAAAAAATATTTTTTAAATATAATTTAAATACTCAGTATATATGTTGTACGTTGGAACAGAATTATTGTGGATTTAGAATCCACCTAGGTTGATTCCGAATAAACATAGGTTGTAACAGAATTCTAAAATGCACCTAAGTTGCTAAAGAATTCGAATTCAACTTATAATAAAATTAGGTGGATTCTAAATTATTTTATCGAGTATGTTATTTTAGAATTCAAGTTGCTTTAAGATAATAATTATTCAGCAAATTAATTCGATTTATATAAAAATATTACATATTGTTTTTACATTTATAATTACTAGGATGACAACTACTACCGCATGGTACTTTATTTTTTTTACATTTACAATAATTGTTTTCACACGAAGTTTTGCAGCTGCATTTAACATTGCCTATTTGTGAAGAAGATTGCATAATCGATGCCTCATAGACACCTATGAGTGCTGAAGGAATATTGTCCAATTCGGGAAACTTGTCAGGACCCAAAGGAAGAATTTCATTTGCAT